GATGTGTTCATGGACTGTTGCATGCTTGTGAATGTTTTATTTTATGTGTCTTTACATCAATAGGAGGCCACTGAGAGAAAAAAAAAAGTATGGAAAGCAAGAGAGTGAGCCAGAGGGAAAGCGGGTGATTGGAGGGCGCCACTGGTCTTAATCTACTTCTTCACTTTCCCTCTTGTTTCTGTCTGTCTGTCTTACTTTTTCCAGCACTAAATGGCCATTAATGTGCCGATGTGCTTCTCTTTACTCTAACAAAACAAAAAAACTAGAAGGAATAATGAAATGTTCTCCTGATCAGCTGAAAATTGTTATTATAGTAGAGGAAGCTGCAATGCATAAAATAAAGAGGAAGAAAGGGGATTGGAAATCCTTTTGTGTTAACAGGAATTTTGTGTTAAAAACAAAGTAATGTGCATGAAGGCCTATATAAATTTGTTGTCTACTTACTTTTTCGTCTTTTTTTGGGGGGGAGGGGAAGGTTGGTTTGAGTTTAAGGGAGCCACTGGTAGGTTCCCACTTCTTTACTTTCCTTTTGTTGTTTCAGTCTTTCTGTCTTACTTTTTCCCAGCTCTGAATACTGAATGGCCATTTTTGTGTCGATGTGTTTCTCATTACTCAAACATTTCAAACAAACAAAACAAATTTGTTATTATCGTGATTAGGTATTGCTGTGCAAATTTATGTATATTAAAAGTGACTTATTCGCCAGAGATTTCATTCCATCAGTCTTTCTGTTGGGACATTGTATCCCTCTCAGAAAGGGTTGGTCCTTTAAGGCAGAGTTGAAGCCCGCCTCCTAAATGATTTAAATTGTGTAAAATAGGGTGTAAAACACCTACATTAAAAAAAAAAGAATTCGTTCACTGCTTTACTCAACTCATTTGTGCTGAAAGTGGCATTTTTAGTGTGACTGCTGTCCTAATCTGTTCCTGGTGAAATTTGTCAGTTAAAGTGCTGATTCACAGGGTAGGATAAGACAGCAAAAACTTTTGGTCACTCATTAACATGTGCATACAAACTTTTTTCTTGTGCAGTATGTCCACTACGAGATTGACTACCCTGAGCAAAGGTTTCCTTCGACTGACCTCATGAAAAAAGAAGCTGCATTGGGAAAAATGCCGTCAGAGATTGGGGATGATGGAAGTGTACAGATGTTCCCCCCGCAGGTAAGGTTCCTTACAAGTACATGTAACATAGTGCTTTATACTTCATGAGAAACTTTAGGATCAGACTATTCTGACTTGTGATAAGGCAACAGAGACGTGCATAATTATATGTCAGATTTTGGCTCTGTTGCTAATGAGTTCAGTGACAATTTGTATGTCTACATTTGTGATGAATACCCACTCATTTTTCTTTTTTTAAAGACATGATGGAGGTGGTGGAAGGAAAAGGAGGGGTTGGGATGGAGGTGAATATTGAAAAATAATAGTTTTCCTGTACTGGACTATTAGAACTACTTCAGGCAAAAGTTAAAAGTAAAGAGTAAAATAAATCCATTTGTATTTTAGTTCTTTCAGATCAAGCTTGATGAACAAATTATATTATCTTTTGGTGTTTATTGAAAAAAGACACTACCGGTACTGGAACTTTGATGCCTCTGTGGTACTCCTTGACTTTTTCTGCAGTGGATCCAGTGTGACTTGCGTTACTTTGACATGTCTACGCTGGGCAAGTGTGCTGTGGTGATGGCTGACCCCCCCTGGGACATCCACATGGAACTTCCGTACGGCACCATGGAGGACAACGAGATGAGGAGGCTGGACATACCTGGACTGCAGGACGAGGGCTTCATCTTTCTCTGGGTCACTGGGAGGTTAGTGTGTGCCGTTTAGCAGGGGTGGGTGTCTTGTTCCCTTAATGAAATGGTTTCGTATTGGGCTGAAGTAGGGGTGACTGATTCAAATCCCTAAAGAGGCATTGTTGAACTTGGGTTCTTCAGGCTGGCTTTCTACCCTTTTGGCTCTGTCCTACCTTAGGTGGGTTTTGGAATCAAAGGTCCCACATCTTTTAAGGTATGCGTATGTATACGTCTAAATTTGGGGAAATGTGTAACTCTAGGACAGTGTGAAGTCTAGGGCTGAAAGGGAAATGAGTTAAAAAAAGAAGTTCTTGGACATCATATTGTTTGAAAGAGGTGTATACTTGTTGAAAATTGTGGATATTATGTAGGCCTACATACTAGGAATACAGATTTCACACAATGATATAATGGTCATGAATACTACACCTTCTATAGCGATGTTCACCTATTGTTGATTATGATGCTCATATGCTCTCAAATGTTATTGTGGTGTTTTCCGATCACCCATCTGTTCTAAGTTCTCCAAGTCTAAGCAATTGTTCTTGGTCTGCCTCTTCCTCTTTTGCCTTCTATTTTTTTTTTCATCAAGAGCAAGATGTCTAGGACTTTTCATTCTAGTGTCCTAAGCTTACATTATTCTTTTCATAGTTGCTTTTATTAGTGACTGTCCTTTGCTTGCCTGTCCTCAGAGAAATTCGCGCCCGCAACCTGCAAGTTGCGCGCCAACTTTTGCCGTCAGCGCAACTTTTACGATTTTCGAGAATTCGCTAATTTTAGCCAATTTCCCGCAAAATGCGGAAAAATAATAATATTTAATTAAAAACACCAAAATTTTCTTCCACGACTAAAAATAACGTCGCCAAGGGGGACAATTCGCTTCTTTACACTTTGCACTAGCCTACGGGTGCCCGCCGCCGCCCAGTGACCCGGGCCGGGTCAGGTCGGGTCGGGATGATCGCCGGACTCATCGCCTGAAAACAACGTGTTTGTTTTGAAACAACGAGTCGGGCGCGATCGACTTGAGCCGCGATAGCTGCTTTGCAATATCAATCTAGCGAGCAGACCGACCCAATAGTCTTGTTTGGACTAGTCTAGCTAGAGTAAATCAATCGTAAACACAGTCGTCTGATTACTTAGCTTGCTTTGTTCCGTAGCACCAGGGTAGATCTAGTATAAAAATTTGTGAAAGACTTTAAATCTTAGGCTAAGGAGGGTAGATCTAAAATGGATCGATTCATCCTGAAAACTCCTAAAGAGAAGGGGACGTTCAAATAATATCACCTTACGCCAGGAAAAAAAAAGGGGGGGGGGGGGGGTCCTTTGACTCCTGTAAAAGTTAAAGTGTAAATGGGGGGAGGGGGGGGTTAACCAATGTAAGATTACACTTTTGTAAGGTGAAAAAAATAATCAAGGAAAATGGCAACGTAACTTTTTTGTTAATAGCATAAAAAGAGAGTAACTCTACACTATTCACTTAGACTTAGAGTTAAGTTCGAGCGGTAAGCACTGCATTGTGGCGATACAATGGACCTCGAGCGGCAAGCACGATATATGTCATCTCGCACTTTATACACTGGTAGATATCTGGGCTACATGACATTGACATGTAGATCTAGTCTAATTTTGATTACACCGGTGCGGTTAAAGTGGTAAAATGACACCGTAAGTTTTTCTGGAAAAGTTCCGATATCTTTATAGCGTATTGAATTATTATGTCACATGTATGTGTACGCATGTTTTTCATGAATACCATAATTAATAATTTAAAAGTAAAACGCATAGAAGAGTGATTGTACCACGGATTTGCGCAATATAAATGTCATATTATTATTATAAGCGAATAACGTAATATACAGGATTGAGGGGAGGGGTGGGGGGGGGGGGGGGGGTCGCAAGAAAGTGTAAAAAAAGTGTAAGGGCGGGAGGGGGGGGGGGGGGGGGGGCAAAAAGTCCCAAACAAAGTGTAAGATTTTATTTGAACAGCCCCAAAACCACGGCAGCCACACCTGCCCAACGTCAGCGAGAGTTTAAGGACCTGACGCATGTGTCAGGTGACAAACTGTTTTTGTACTCCAAGCAATTTTTTTGTTTTTGGTAGACATTCACATTTAAGTTTTGATTTTGATCTAACAAAACTCATATTGGTTACTTTTGATTGCAATGAGCATAGCAACAATACAATGTATTCCAATAGTTCCGTGGCATTGTTTTAGCTATACGTACGCCTCGCAACTTTTCTTGTAACTTTTGCTACTTTTTCTTGCAACTTTTGCTATTTTCAAATGCAACTTTCTCTGAGGACAGGCTTGCTTCTTTCAACACTACCTCATTTGATTTTTTTTCCTTTCTTGAAATTCTCAGCAGTCACCAAAAGAAACCACATCTCTTGATACAGTTCCATGCTGTCAATTCTTTATATCTGACAAAATTCCCATCAATTTTTCAACAGGGATCGCTTGGTAGTGTTATGCCTGCAGTGTTATGTAGTACCGTCTCTAAATAAGCGACCTCAACTTGATTTAGTATATTTATGGAGTAAAGTCACATGCTGTTCCTTTTTGTTCCAGGGCTATGGAGCTGGGCAGAGAGTGCTTAGAGCTGTGGGGGTGAGTCTTGTGTGTCATAAAGTCACAATGGTTACAACCACTGATAGTGACAGGCATGGGACATGATGGCAAGCTGTGCTAGTTTTGGTCCAGATCGTCGTTTTCACAGTTCAGTTTAAACAATTAAACAGTAATAGGGCCTACATGATATGATGACAATAACAACGCAATATTAATTTTTCAGTATACAGTGCTTCCACTCTTCCGTATTTTTACGGAAATCCGTACTTTCTGCCAGTTCCGTACTTGTTCCTCCTTCATCATCAACTCCCTCCGTAAAAAAAAAACTGCGACAGCGCAGGACTGCCGAAATTCCGTACTCACCTTCCTATCGTCTTGTAGTTACGGATATTTACGGTAATTCTCTCGGCAACAAGTTAAAGTTATTGAAACCTGCCAGATTGCGCTTTTCCTGCAATCGGCCATTATTCCACTATGTCCCTTGAATCCATTGCGGGTTGGTCGGCAGAACATTTTTTACCTGCAGATGGATCAAAATCTGGCGAACCTTTTGTGCCAATTTCCTTCTTTCTATCATTTGCTCATTCCTTCTGTCTACCTTCGGATTGTTGCCGCGGCTGGAAAATCTGCGCGTTGATCAAGTAAATTGACTTGTGATCTTAGAGACAGAAAATTACTGTCGGAAAGAAACTTTTTTTGCAAATTTGTCTAGAATCTAGATCTAGATCTAGAGAAATTATCAATGCGAAGATTCTACGGCACGTGAACGCAATAAGGGCCGCGATGAAAGAAATAATATGCTGGTACGCGGGTGCCCACTACGAGACTACGGATGGGATCGGCCGATCGCGCTGATCGCCCGACTCGGTTGCCTAAAAAACAAACGTGTTTTTTTGTCAGTTTCAGACGATCGAGTCGGGCGATCGGCCTGATCCAGCCGTAGGTAAAATAAAAAATAATTCGAAGTGGTGTTCTGAGGTTGTGTCAGGCGACATTCAGACGTGAAAATTGAGAAAAAATGTGGGTATACGCTGCGCAACTGTATTGTGAAGGTACATCTATTCATTATTCCCAGGTTTGCCTGCTATCAATGGTGCGACGTCAAATTAGTTGAATTATAGTAGCAATGAAAGGGGAACCTGCTTTTAAACATTGCCAGCCATGTTGGTGAAGAAATCAAACAAGACAAAATGTTGGTGAAAAAATAAATGTTTTGGGCTCTAGTCTAGGCAATCTCTTCAAACAGGCTCCCAAATGCCATTTTCAACCCTCTAAAAGCACTAAATTTCAATTTCTTCGGGGGCTTCGCCCCCTGAACCCCCACCCGCGACGCTGTCCCTGGACCCTGCTGGGGGCCTCTGCAGCCCCCAGACCCCCGGCAGAATTTTCCTTACTTTTCATCTTCAGCTGGTGGAAGCACTGAGTATAATTAATAATAATTATGATGATGCCGATGATAATAACAACTATAATAGTTTTTCTTGTAAATTTATAATAATAATGTTGTTGAAGAAGATGATGATGATAATAATAGATAAGAATGGTTTGCATTATAATAAAACTTTCTATTATTTGCTTCTTGGCTGCTGATTAGACCACTTAGTTTTTATTGGTTAATTGTTCACCTGTTTATTTTTTGTTCAATTTATGGACTTTTCTTGCCAGGTATAAGCGGGTGGACGAAATCATCTGGGTGAAGACCAATCAGCTGCAGAGAATTATTCGCACTGGCCGTACAGGGCATTGGATCAATCATGGCAAAGAGCACTGCTTGGTACCTTTTAGATATTGTTTTCTCGTGTAATGCTGTTATATGTGTGTTCTTGACTTTTGCCGGACTATCCTGCCATCGCAGTGCCTTGTTCTAGTCTGTCATTGATCTCTCTCTATCTCTCTCTCTCTGTGTCTCTCTCTCTCTTTCCCCTCTCTCTCTCTCTCTCTCTCTCTCTCTCTCTCTCTCTCTCTCTCTCTCTCACACACATTTATGTATATACAGTTGAATATGTCTAAGAGTAAGACGACCACTCATTGTTGAGTAGAAAAGAAGTTATCTTAGACAGGTGGACGGTTTGAACAGTGTCTTTATGTTTAAAAAATACAAGGGGAAATGGAAAAAGGTTGTTTTTTACAGGAGGCTGTTAAAGCAGGTATATTATGTTGACCTATATATGCAGGTAAACCTGTAGAGACGTCCATCAGCCTGAGACAACCACTTTTCTCCGTCTTGAACAGTTTTGACAGAAATATTTATATAGTGTAGAGTTGAGCCTGCTCTAACAACCACCTGTACAAAAAATCCCTTTCTATTTTCATATATGCGAAGAGCGTGTTCTCTAGCACCCTATTTGTCTACACGCACAAGCTTAAACTTTGAAATTTATAATGTTAAAGAAGCAAAACTGCTTTAAATTTGAGACCTTATTATGTGACTAAAGCGAAACTGTATATTGAGCAGAGAATGTTGTTTGAATTAATTTATATAAGGGGTACTTGAATAATAACATGTTTTGATCTTGCGTCCCTTTGTAACTGTGCCTTCTCTCTTAAATTCACTTCAGTCTTAAAGCTAGATCAGTTTATCATGTAATACCATTATGTGATGTCTGATAATAAGGATGTTTATCTTATGTTCTTCTGCATTTATTTTTTTTGTGTGTGGAAGTGATAGACTTTCCATATATCCTTTCTAATTCCTCTTTGTTACGTTTAAAAGAAAAAAAAAGAAATACAATTTTGCCTGCTTGTTCCTTGCTAGTGCTTGGTGTAACTTTGCTGTACTAACCTCCTGCAGGTCGGTGTGAAGGGCAACCCAAAGGGAGTGAACAAAGGCATGGACTGTGATGTCATCGTAGCTGAGGTATGCTGATTTTATCATTTGGAGAAAAAAAAAAACAAAAAAAGAATTCAGAATACTTTTTAGTATAACCGACACCTGTGGTGTATTGGCAAGGCTGTTCAGGGTTGCAGGTAGAAGGTATGAATGAGATTCCAGAACGGGAAAGTTTTTTTTTAGCAAGTACAGTCGAACCTGTGTAAAACAGCCACCCATTGTCAAGGAGAAAAGTGTCCATATAACACAGGTGGTTGTCTTAGGCAGGGCTGATCAAAATGAAAAAAGCAAACCATTCCCTTCTTAGGTCCTAACTGGGGCTGATCTCTGTTTGGCAAATTCAAAAAGGTTTTTGTTTTCTTTTGAAAAAGGGGTGTATAGGGGTGTAAGATGGGTTTTTTGTTGTTGCTGTTGTTATTTTGTTGGTTTGTTGGGGTTTTTTTTAGCTCTTTTTGTTGCTGATTTTGTGCAAGGGTAAAATAAACAAAATGCGTAAAATGACGAAAAACGAGTTCCATGGTAGAACAGACATGTGGGTCGCCACCACTTGGAGAACGAGTGACACTTCTGTTGCAAGTTCTAGTCAACGTCCATTGTTACTTTGTTACAGATTAGGTGAACAAAGCAGTAACCAATCACCTCACATACGATTTGTTGTGCACGAGTTGTGGGCGGGGCTAATAAGTCATGACGGATCACACGCTTACCTCACCACCAGTTGCAATTTATTGTTACCAATTTGTCAACTTGGGTAAACATTCATTGGAGGGACAAACATAATAACCGCAGGTGAATGGATTATGATGGCCCGTCCACAGCATCAGGTTCCCATTCAAAATTTGTGATAAAACATCGGGCGATGCATGATTACGCCTGTCCGTCTGAAGCAGGTCGATTTGGCTGTGGTTTGATAAAATAAGGAGGCCACGGCCGTGTTGGACAAGTGACCGTTTTACACTGTTAAATTATATAGAAAAAACGCAAGGAGGGGGGGGGGGGGGGGAGGGAATGGAAAGTGTCCGTTTGTACAGGAGGCCGTCATGGCAGGTTCGACTGAATCTTTATCTGTTTGATGGGATTTTGTATCCGACCCAGCCCTGCGTTGGCCATAACAGGCAGGGTTGAAGCAACCAAGCTCCTAAATGACCTGAATTGTGTTGATGGGATCATAAACCATATAAATTGCAATTATTCTTTTCAGTGTTGACATTGAGAAACAGCTGTGTTGTTGTTAATTGGTCAGTGGTCATGTGTGCTTTGAGGCTCATTTAAGTGTGTTTTTCTTCTTAAATAAGGGACAACTCATATTATAATCTCTGTGGAACTTTGGGCTGCTCTTTTGGACTTTGAGCAAACTGCTCTTTCCGCATATCAGTGAACAGCCTACTCAGGATGTGCTATTAGTTCTGTTCAGTAGCTGTCATATTGGACTAGGTTTGGATGAGCGGATAAGCTTGGTTCATTCATACCAGGGAATTACAGTCGGGCACAGATAACTCAAAAGCGTTGGGGGTTGAAAATTTTGTTTGACACTTTCATAATTCGTGTTAACCAAAAACTAAAAATTTTAGAGACATAAAGTTGGGGAATGCCAAATTGTATGAGTTATCCGGGATTTCTAGTTCCCTGTTCGTGTTGTCTATGCCTGACTGTATGTTGGAATTCAGGGTCATGCTTCTTAAATAACTCTGATGGGCATGAGTCTACAATACAGAGACGGCAAAAGAGTAACAGAGGGAGAGAGACAAAGACAGAGATAGAAAGTTGGATGAATGGATGTGTATATGTGGCTATAGTATTGCTCTATACGGTTCTCATATTTACAAGAGCCACATTCGAATAGGCAGAGCGTAAATATGAGTTTCACCTTATTTTGTTAGGATTATGATTATTATTATTACTATTATTTTTATAGAAAACAATTATGTTCAAATTGGTATACCACTTAAATGTGCAAGCAATCCATGCTTTAATCATGGGGGAGTTCTATTTTGGTACTGCACAGAAAGCTACTTGTGGGTATTTAGAGGGTACCACTAGTAGGTCCTACTTCTTTACTTTCCCTCTGTTGTTTCTGTCTGTCTGTCTGTCTTACTTTTTCCCCAGCACTAAATAACCATTACTGTAACAATATGCCTCTTTTTACTGAAACAAACAAAGCTACTTCTGGTGCTCATAAAAAATATTTGTGAAGATAAGTGTGTAGATATGTATTAACATTTATACTTTGATGAAAACTCGTGTGTTTAACAGTTGAATGTAAATATATAAATTTTTCACATTTGGGATGGCTTGTGTGGGTTTTTTAAAAATCAGGTTCGCGCTACAAGTCACAAGCCAGATGAGATCTATGGCATCATAGAGCGATTGTCTCCTGGCACTCGCAAAGTGGAATTGTTCGGTCGACCTCACAATGTGCAACCCAACTGGTGAGTATTTTACATGTGGGAGGGGGGGGGGGATATTGTTGTGGAGGATTATGTTATAGATCTGGCAACAAGGAGTAATGATGAGCATTAAAACTGAAAGAATTCTGTGATGTACTAAACCTATGCCCTTTCAGGGTGTTTTGCTTTTGATCTCTGTTGTCAGTTTGACAGTATGTCAATGATAGTCCTTTCCTCTGCGTCACCAGTCTGTCCGTTTCTTTTTAAGGCTGCTTCCACTGCTTTATGATAGTTTTACTTTTTCAAAATGTTTTAATTCAGTATGTTGGACTGGAGATTTTGTGGCATGGATTGGTGAGTCGCTTCTAAACTCTGCAGAGTATCTGAATTGCTATTGCTTTAATTTTTCTGATGAAAGTGAAATTGACTCTAAAGTGGTATCATTCTATTTGGGTCATTGTTGAGTTGATTGTAAGTAAATTGTAAGGTGTTATGCCTGGGGATATTAATACACATATAAACCAGAGGTAGAATTACCCCTCAAAAAACTCTAAGATGAAGTTATGGCCCTTTTACATCTTGGGATGTTCAATTCATTTCTGCTTAAACAGTGTCTGTTCTAAGGGCCCTTTCTTTAATGTTACTTTACGACAAAATTGCTTTGGTGGCTTTGATTTCTTTAAAATCATTGACTCAGGACTGCAGATGTCCTTTGTGCGGAGGTGACCACAAGTTTTTCTCTCTCATGGAGAGCAGATTGGAAAGAGAGTTTTGGTCGTCTAGTTTTTGAACAAACAGTATTTAAACAAAACAGGTCACTGGCTGAAAGGTTGTTGTTGCACATCGTGACAATACAGTTTTTAGCTTTCTTTTAATAAAGAATTTATGTTTCAATTGGTTTCAGGATCACTTTAGGCAACCAAGTGGAAGGCGTTCGTCTCAAGGATCCGGATATTGTCAAGTTGTTCAGAGAGAAATATCCTGATGGCAACTGCATGGTACCTCCGCAGAACAGATGAGGGAGTGAAATAAGGCTGCTACTTGAATGGGGACTCAGATGTTTTCTTGGAAAAGATGAGACATAGAAATGACACAGCTTGTATTTGTCAAAAGTACTGGTGTATGGACTAATGCGAAGGTTCTTCAGTGTTTTTATCTTGTCTCAGCCAAAAAACTAAAGGATTCCTTTGGTGGAAGTGTAAAGCAACAAACGAAACCCTCATCATTGTTTACTTTACACTTGACTTATTGAGAGTCTTCTTCGGTCCATCCTGGTCTGTGGATTTTAAACAAATTGTAAAACAATTTGAAAGCTCTTTCTCAGATGTGTCCAACAGAACGATGGAGAAATTACTTAAGCTGATGAGTTTTGTAATACAATGGGCAGAACAAGTTTCATTCCCTTCCGTTATTTAGAATTTTGGCGAGGAAAAGTTTGTTATTTTGTGCAGTGATGAACAGACTTCAGTTGTAAAATTTGAAATGGAACTGAACAGTAGTGTACTTCCAGCAATGAGTGGGATATTCTGGGCTTTTATTGAATGTGGACAACGTGCGAGGTGTGTGAACTTGATTGAGATTATACGTCTCTAGGTCTTAAAGTGATTTTTGTGGTGGAAGAGATGAAATTGTTCTATTATTGTGTTTTGTATAAAGACGACTTTGGATTTATAGCTCAATGTTTTTCTTTTGATCAAAATGGTAGTAATGTTGGACATTTTATGTTTTCACATGCTACCTTTTAAGATGAAAGGCTTTTTTTCTCCAGTGAGTTATGGGTTTGGGTTTTCATCACTACTGTGATGACAGAAGTACTATGAACATGAAGTTCCTTAGAATGTTTAATTGATTTGCCGCTAGACAAAAAAAAAAGGAAATGATTGTCTAACATTTCCACAGTGTTGACAATAGATTGTTGATTGGGGCTTTTGCATTTTTTTGTCATGGTTTCATGAAAAGCAGGAACAGTTGTTGTACTGTGAGCTCTTTTTACCAGTTTAAATCAGAATGACTGAGTTTGCAAGTCCTTTGTTGAAGATAATTTTCTACGAAATGTATCGATGTTGTTTTATGGAGCTCAGGATATTCATGATGTTTCTCTCTTACGTTATATCAACCTCATTGACTTATTCATAGCCTATGTTTCTGTTTTGCTTTGCAATACGTGCATTTAGAACTTTTCGTCACAAAATTCTGATTTTACTTACGCCATGTTTGGTAACCTGCTAGGCAGGATTACTGTAGTGACAGTCAAGGAACATTTCTATTTCCAATGACTGTGTTTATTGTCAAGTTCTTTATCGTCATATTGTGATAAAGATGAAATTGAAGGGTACTACCTGCTTATATGACTTGGTGTTTTCAATAACGTATTATAATGATTTTTAACTCTATAACCGGGAAAATATTTTCCTCGCTTTGACGGAATTTTTTTCCAGATCTCTTGAAATACATAATGGGGTATACATGAAAAATGTTCATAACATTGCTGAAACTGTGTCAAAGGGAAAGAGGAAGTAGTTTGTATATTTATCAAACTTCTCTGATAGTTTGTATATTTATCAAACTTCTCTGGGTCAAAATAAATCTGCTAGAATTTGTAAGAGATTGAATTAGCCAGTATTCCTTTGTGCCCTCTGCGATCTGATCAGACGCTGGGACCGCCCACTCTGAGACTGGGTGAGTTTCACTGCACACTCCCATCATCCCCTCAGGGTAATTGAGTGAACTCCCAAGTCATACGACAGTACTCAGAGAATGTGGCAGCATCAAAGTGAATGTTTCTGACTTGGTAGGAAAAGATAATAAGTTAACTAGAATACATAATGAGATGCTGTTTCTTTTGAGAGAAGCAGCTACCTTCGAGGAATATTTGTGTTGTGTCAGAGAGATGAATTTCATGTAATTAATATCTTGTTCTGGTTTGCGCATGTAGGCTATCTGTCTGTGTGTTGCTATTGTTCAGTGATAAAAATACACCTCAGAGTAGAGTTTATGGTTTGGCCCAAGGGTGGTAAATCCCATCAAACATTTACCTTTCACAATGAATAATATGAAAATTAACTCCAGAATATTTTTCACCAACACATAAAAATAGTCTTCCGATTTTTTTGTTCTGTCCTTTTTATTAGTTAGTTCCCGAAGGAACAAGTAGTTATTTCACAGACAGTATTTAGTCAAAATTGTACAGACTTTCCACATTTATCATACATTTTCATATGTGTATTTCTCGTGTGTTCAATTCATTTCAAACATGTAAACGATTCCTGAGATCATACATTTACATAATGCAAAATTCTAACTCACTTCGTGATGATGAATTTATGTATAAACACATTTCATGTCTTTGTAATGATATTAAATTGATGAATTCGTCTCCATTTTTTTATAGTACACTTTGTTTACTCACTTCTTCATATATATATATATATATATATATATATATATATATATATATATATATATATATATATATATATATATATATATATATATATAAAATATCTTTCCTCTTTCTCTCCTGTCTGTCAGTCTGTGTATTTGGGTCTCTCTCTCTCTCTCTCTCTCTCTCCCTCTCTCTCCCTCTCTCCCTCTTTCCCCCTCTCTCTCTTTTTCTTCTGTCTGTAGGTCTTTCTCTGTCCCTTTCTCTCCCCGTTACTTCTTTTCTTTCAAACATCTATCATCCTTATCCTGTCTCCTTTTTTTGTGTATGTCACTTTCTTGTAATATCTTCAATCTTCAGCTCTTATATGGCCTTATACTACTTATAGTGTTGCAAGTGCTGTAAAACACTTACTATAACAAAATATCTCTTTCTCTCTCTCTTTCTCTCTTTCACTCTCTCCCTCTCTCTCTCTCTCTCCCTCTCTCTCTCTCTCTCTTTCTCTCTCTCTTTCTCTCTCTCTCTCTCTCTCTCTCTCTCTCTCTCTCTCTCTCTCTCTCTCTAATAGCATATATAATTTTTTCTTCTCTGAGCAAGTACATTCTCCTAGCAACAGGAGTTTTTCTTGAGGCTCTGCTGACCCTGGTTGACGTGTATGCTCTCCTCCAGCCACGAGTTCTGCTGGTTATACTTCTGAGCCTTGTGGCTGGACATGAGCTGCTCTCCGATCATCTGCAAAGCCTCATTTACGCCTTGACCTGTAAAGAAGAATAGAGTATCGTATTGTTTTAAAGTTGTTGTTTTTTTTCCTTTACTTCTGATCATCCTTTTCTTTTTACTTTCGTTGTTGTTGTTGTTGTTGTTGTGGTTGTTGTTGTTGTTGTGGTTGTTGTTGTTGTTGTTTTTCTTCTTCTTCTTCTTCTTCTTTTTCTTCTTCTTCTTCTTCTTCTTCTTCTTCTTCTTCTTCTTCTTCTTCTTTTTCTTCTTCTTCTGCTTCTTCTCTTGTGCGCGTGTGTATGTGGGGTGGAGGGAGGCAGATAGGAAGATGGACCATGTGTCTCAGAACAATCATACTTATTTTCCCAGCATGCACTTACCCCCAGTCTCTTGTTTGTCCATGTACTATTAGAGCTAAATGCATTCCCAACACACCAAGAGTCAGCGCTCACCTGTCTTGGCGGAAGTGAGGAAGGCGTACTCGCAGTTGTGACTCCGAGCAAACCCCTGGATGGTTCTGGCTGGGACTTGCATTGGTTTGTCGGTTTTGGTGCCGATCAGGAACCTCAGAGCTGGAAAATAATTATTGTTTGATTTTTTTCAAATTTCTGCAAATGTTTCTTGTCTATGGGAAACTGAACAGGCGCCTGTGGTATGGCAGTTTGGCGCTTTGCCTTCACTCACAGACGATGAAAAACAATAAAATATCCACTTTATTATGTATATTAAAACCAGCTCTTATCTAATTTCTTTCAAACTTTTTTTTCTGTCGAAAAATTTAAACAGCAATGGCTGAATTGACTTACACCGTTATTTTAACAAAGCTTTTTTTCTGAGATACCCTTCGACATTCATGGCCAGAGATGGGCGAGTAATGATTAAATTACATGTAAATTGCAGCGCAAGAAGTTATCAATAACGGCAGATTTTCTTTCCTCAAGCCAAAGATCTTACACAACAAGATCTTTGATGGAGCACAGTAAAAGTAAGAGAAACTTTTCAAGTACGTTACTTCATAGAAGTAAAAAGTAGCACTGGCGTTGCACGAATGATTATTATAATGATAGCATATATGAAAACGTCTAGGTGTATTTGTTTTACAAATAATAGCCTTTAGCAGAGACAGCGAAATAATCAGTTAATGACACAGCAACATGTTTGCTCTTGAGAGGCGTTGAGAGATTAGTGCATAAGGAAAATGCAAATTTTTATGAGGGTCACTATTCCATTTTTACAAGTCACAACCAAGGAGGAAGTAGATTAATTGTTGTTGTTTTTTGAGTGTGTCGCGTATTAATTGCTCTGAACTCTTTTTTTCTGCAAACCCATTTCGGAAATACGGTGTTTGCTGAGGTGAGAAATAAAACAAGAATACATCTTATAGTTTTATATAACATTTCTAAGTGATACAAATGACTTTAAACAGTCTACTGAAGGCCTTCCCCGTTGGATAAATCGACGTACATGTATGTTCGCATTGCTTAAAAAGTGATAAGTGGCGTGCCGGGGGAGTGATGCAGAAACAAGACTAACAAGATTCACTTCATTTTAAGTACCCCTATCTGCATTTTTTAAAAACAGGTCTTGGAAAAATAATTGCCTCCCTTCAAAGGTGTTTTTCTTTTCTTTTTTTTTTCTTTTGGTGCCTTTTTTTATCCTAACACATCGAATTCAAAACATTTTAACCTAAATCTAAATATGTTTAATGTTGAAGTATTTGAGTGAATTTGCCTCCAGAGGTACGCATTACAAACGGCTTACGGCATTCATTCGATGGCCCCAAAATCTTTTCTCCACACACATCTCTGCGAACTCGGCCTATTTCTAGCGCTCCGTCCTCGATTTGCTCCTGATTTGCGCTGATAATGAAACTGTTATTACTATAAAGCTTTGGCCAGTCTTCCAATAGAAGTTGGATTTGAAGTTTTAAGTCTCTCGGAGAAACCTCAAAGGAACTCGCCGGCAAAACACCTGGCGTTGCTAGATAGCTTATCAGCCCGTATGAGTGTGAGGCTTTTGTATAGAGAGGACTCACGCTCAAGTCTGCAAGACAGATAAAGTAAGGCGGCCCGAGGACTGCGGAGTAGCGATTTTTCAAAAATGGTACGTCTTCGAGGTCTTTGATTCATATCCTGGCCTAGTTTCTGATCCTAGCTTCTTTTAACAGTTTGAAGTTACCCCGGAGCTTTATCTAGTTGGTAGCTTCTAGTTTATTGTCCCGTTCGTATGACAATCGCCCAAGACAGATCTAGATGAGGCAAGACTGGTTACAGTTTGTATCAAGTCTCATGCCTTTTCCTGTCTACCACTAATCAAGATGGCTACTGTTGCTCTCCCGTTGTACCGCCTTCCCTACTGTATCGACCACCAACTTTATGTTCGTTCAAAGGTAGGCGATATAGCAAGGTTACTGTATCTTCACGAAACAAACTACCAGTACCCAAATGACTCAATGCGAGAACCCAATGCACAAAGGACACTCTACAGACAACCGGTATGTGATTCACCACGTCGATGTCATAAGAGTAAGAGTAAGTATCGATTCAAATGATCAAATCTGGAATACGGTATCCCAGATGTTTCATTGCTTATCAGATATATTTATTCAACATTCCCGGAATCACGAGAACAAGCTGAAAAACTTAAAGTGAAAGTTTCTTTAACGGCCTTGCGGGTCTTTAAAGTTTAAAGAACATTTCTTTTTGTCTTCCTTGACCTTAGGGCCATGGAACAATGTATTTGTGTTGAGAAAAGATATTTTTTACAAACCCACAGACCTACTTGGCTCATTCTTTTGCAACGGGTCATATTTCTTCTAAAGTGTCCTTTTTTTAAAAAACCCAGACGATTACTAATTGTGTAATCTGTAAGATCGTCATTTTTTTCTAGGGTCAACGACCCTCACGCTTTCGTACGTTCACTAAGCACCACGACTCCCGGTTCGATTATCCACGCCTATGCCGTCACGGGTGACACACGCATCAAGGGGCGTGTCCAAACATACGCCATGGCATCGACAACGGTGAACTCGTGACCTTAGAATTAAAAAAAAAAGTTATATCTGACATTTTTGGCCGTTTTAAGTTACCGAGACAATGAGGTCCAAAAACAAATGTTGTAACTGCTCTATCAAAATAGTAAGATTATTCGGAGCCCTTATCAAGATGTTCAAAAATTTATACTCGAAAAAGTTTGACATGTTGTAAAGCTCACAAATTTTAAACGTCAAATTCCTCAAAAGCGGTGCTGAGTAGATAAGACTTGGTAATTCTATGGTGGCGAACTGTCTACAGTACACGTGATGACTCGAGACTGTGTTTCCATCGGCCCCATATATACTGCTTTATTCACACGGGGATTCAAGTTAGTCACACTGTTTCGTATGATGTGGTAATATTATTATTCTTTAGGCTAAGTAAGCGTGTGGTCATGCCAGACGCTACTGTTCAGACTCCAAAAGACGAAGACTCTTTAACTCAATGAGGACACGCGTTCTAGTCATTGAGCTACACGCTAAGTTAGGGCGTTTTATTCAGGGCACTTAAAAAAAAAAAGAATCATAACACGTAGATGCTGCAATTCGATTTTCTCGACCCGAAACTTAAAAAGGAAGGCAAGCTACGACATGCAGACTACAAAATACATGTGTCTGCAAAATAATGTTTCTGATTTGTGTGTGGCAGTTTGAAATCTGCCATTACATGGCCTTTAGACTGCTGATCGGACATAGTGAAATCTACGTCCTCAGCGAGATGAAGTACTTAAAACGAAGACAGGTGTTCCGAAAGTTTCCGCCTCTATGATGTGCGGTCTATGAAAAAGAAGATGATGGACAGTTTCATTTTGTAAACATCTCTTAAAAACAAATATACAAAACAACAAGCTGACTTATGTGGTTTAAAGTGTAAGGCTTAGATCTATACCTAGCGCCTATTCGGTGATCGGTTCTCTAGCACAAACCGATCACCTGACTCGAGGCCTTGAAAACAAACGCATAATATGTTTTTTAAGGTCACCATCGGCTTCGTTCGGTTCGTGCAACGATGGTCGCTTCCCCCCCCCCTCAATCTGGCGACCCCCGCCTACCAAACCGAATCGAACCGATAGTGCCATTGGGCAGTGGTAGTCTCTTTGTCATTGCACGTAGAATACGGGAGATAGATTCTCGAGGTATTACTTTTAGATTTTTTAAAAATCGAGTATTATTTTCATCTGTCTGCTGTGATGTATCCCTAGCAGTACGTGTTGGCCCTAACAGACAAGGTTGAAACAACAGCCAGCCTCCTAAATAATCTAAGTTATGTCTACAGGGGAGGTATAAAACATTTACAATTTATAAAAACCCGCTAAATGAACCAAAAGAAAACAACCTTGGGGAAAAAAACGAACAATTAACATAACCCAACAAAAACAGAACAAAACAAACAACATTTATTTTTTTTTAAACATGCTAGATCTAGATATCTAAACAAACACACAAAAAAACCTTGGGAAAAACGAACAATTAAAAAAAAACAACAACAACAAAACGAACTAAACCAACAAAAACGTTGGACGTTGAGAGAAGGTCAAGGAGGTTATACACAGTAGGGTCCTTGGAGAAGGTACTACCTGTGGGTGCGTACTCCCTGGTGTCCCGTTCCCAGTTGCTGAGCTGATAGAGAGAGGTCGGCTCCTCCACGCTGAACGTGAGCAGTACAGCCTGCGCGCTGCGGTAGAAGTTCCGGGTCAAAGTGCGAAACCGCTCCACACCCGCCGTGTCCCACAGTACCAGCTGCATGAGCAGACGTACGGATGGGAGACAATTAATATAATATTGTACACAAGAAAAACCATCTAATATTTCAGAAGAGTGTTGATTTCGATGTTTAATGAAAAAAAATTATATTATATAT